CTTACACAATCAGTTATTGTTTAGTAAATCAGTCTCAAAACAAGATCAAAAAGACTTTTCAGCTGGATATATGATTTTAAAACTTGGTTAGGTGGACAGTTTTTGCAGTGTATGATGTTGGTTTGTTTGTCAGACATATATAATATAATTATAATTGAAAGTCAGTTTAGATGTTGAGCCAAAGTTTGATTTGGTAGTAGCTGAGCATCTTCCCCATCACAAATTCTGAGCGTGAGATCTTGCATAATGTCATTTTTAAGGTTTGACTAACTTGGTAGTTTCTCTTTATAAGATGCTGTGGTTTAAAACCCTGGCAGGAAAAGCAGCAGACAATATGCAGTTTTATTAGGAAGGCCAGGTCGTACATGTTGAGTTTCCTAACGTAAAGTTTCACTAACTGACAATGATCACAGTAAAAACTATATTTATCTGTCAGATGAAAGGTAAACACAAAAAAGATGTCAAAATCGACAGATCATGATAGGGGAGAAATGAAAACAAAAGCATGATGTCATCAAACAGGGACAGTGGGCATTACAWGAACCTTTTTTTAGCCACAGTGAAAGGCTTGAAGCACATCCAACAAACCAAGAGAGTCTGCACATTTTACACAAACATATTTAAAAGTTGTGTTGAAGTTGTTTGGTCTGTTGTCTGCTTGAGTTTGTCATAAAACCTCTGCTGGATGTCTCTGCTTTAGTGCTGTCATCACAAAAGAAGAAACTATCCAACACCATGACAGAACTAGCCTGCCCTTGCTTTTCCAAACAGTTCCTCTCAGTTCTAACCTCCCTTCTTTACTCCGTCTGGGATTTCTCCCACAGACAAGTACTTCTCTGGTAGAATTTCAACGGGGTCAATCAGTGGAAGGAGGAGTTGGTTCATTGGTTTCCTGCACTGTTTAGTCTGCCTGTAGTTTAGCAATGGCAGCAGAGGAAGTGAAGCCGGTCTGCAGTGACAAGGCTTCCAAATTAAATTTGTTTCACACAGCCTGCAGCACTCATTTACAGCCATCATGTTCTCTTCCCAGAAGGCTGCCTGTGCTGAGCCTGGTTCTGGCTCTGCTGGAGTTTTCTTCCTGTTAAAAGGAAATTTTTCTTCTCCACCGTCACCAGTGTGCTGCTCAGGATGGGAGACCGTAATGAAGTGATTCATCTCAATCTGCTGTATTGTGAGAAAATTCGTATTCAATAAACTGAAGTCGATATTAGAAACACAATTGTTAAATAAAATGATTTGTAGAAGGAATCAAACCATACAACACCAGAACTCTGGATCTGAGTGAGGTTTATTGTCACCCAAACTGACAGGAAACCACACTGGTGAAAAACCAGGAAGTTGATGTATTTATAAACCTTCTTCAATGCCTGYGTTCGCCCCCTACTGACCTACGGCTGAATCACAAGCATTCAGACAAAATCCTCAGCTAATGTCATCACAACGGTTGATTGTGTATTGTTATATACTGTAATTCGGACATGTAACTAATCTAAATTAATCAAAGCATAATAGATTAAACATTGTCAACATTACAAAAAGGAAAACTTAAAAATATAGTGTTGGGCTTTTAACATCAGTACTAACCTCCAATAACTATACATTTCTTCAGTATTATTTGCTTTTTTGAACAGTGCCCTGAGATGTTTGTTGTGACTTAACGCTATAAAATAAATGAGTTAAAATTAATTAAATTAATTAATTGAATTGTGGGCGGCACGGTGGCTCAGTTGGTAGAGCTGATGCCTCTCAGCAAGAAGGTC